CCCCAAAACCCCAAAACCCCAAAACCCCAAAACCCCGTATTCTTTAAAGAGATTTGAATTAATTGTAATATAATTTCAATGAAAGTTTACTTTATCCCCCGTTATGCTTAAGCCTGAAGAAGCTAGATTTGTTTTTATGCTTATTGGGGTCATAGCTACCATCATCCATGTCGACAGGTTTCTCCCTTTCTTGGCTGTTGAAATCTTCACTGCTATCTTGGCTATTAGATTTACCGCAATCAGCGGCATTCTTCACTCTTGAGAATGCAGATGTTCGGAAAGGCTTAATATAAGGAGTTCCAGAGCCGTCAAACGACATTTCAAGAGATGATCAAGATGCTGACTCGTTAAAAGACACGAAGCTCGACATCGAAGTGCCACTAGAATTTGATAAGTTATCATCTGGCTGCAGATGCTTGTATTTCTGAATAGGTGTTGGCTCTTTCTCCTCTAGCAAAATAGGGTTCTGATAGTTTCTAATTGTCGCATCATCTTTCGATGTCTTATCACCTAACTTTTCAAACAGGAAGTTTTCCTTAATGTAAGTCGAGCTTTCAGGAATCCTGCTAATAGAGTGGCTTCTTTGGAGCCTCTGATTTTTCATATGAGATGGAATGCTACTCAGATGGCCACCATAATTACTGAAGTTGTTCTCAAGGCTAATACCATCATTCCCGTTCGAAGGGGTCTGCATTTGGCAAATATCCATCATATTTTGTTGTCCGTAGTAAGGATTATTGTTCATTAGAGAGAATTGAGCAAAGCTTTGGACCAACTGAGAATCATCCACAACTCCCATTGGCTGGTTCGAGCCCAAGTTCATGTGGATGTCATTTGCATATCAGGAATTCGCTCTCATGTGAACTCCAAATTGGGGCGGTTGTAATTGATTCTCTGCTAAATTCGGAACTAGATTATCAGTGTTCATTTGGAAGCCATTCATGCCAGCAGAGTTATTGGAAGTGCCTGAGGCAACCAGTGTGATAAAGTCTTGTATCTGCTCAGGCATGATTTTTAAAGATACTAGTTTTCTAATAATGTATTTATCACCAGTCCGAAGATTTCCCTTGGCATTTTTCGACTCTTCTTGAGGGTCGACTGGCATTCCTCCAGACAGGGTGCCTGGCTCCATTGCTGAAATATTCTTCTCCATTCTCTTTTTGTTAAGGTAATCTGAATACATTTCATAAATATACTGAGAGAGATAGATGGTGAGCTCCTTCTCTACATCATTTTCTTTGAGGTCATAGGTCACCTTATTTTAATGAAATTTTCCTGATTATTTTCCTGACACTTGAATAAAAGTAATTCTTAACTGAGTTGTCATTTCTTCCGTCGCAATATTTGGCGATTTCCGCCCACTTGTTGCCAAACACCTTGTGCTTCGCTATGAAAATAAGCTCTTCTTCAGGTTTCCAGGGACTTTTATTGATTCGAGGGTCAAGATGGTTCCTCCATCTTTCCCTGCATTGTTTGGGGTTCTGGCTGAATCCAGGGAATTGGGTCTTCATTTTTTCTACGATTACTGCCCACTTCTTGGTACCGAGGTGGTGCACAAGTTGGGTAAGATATTCCTCCCGTTCTGTGTTCCATTGGGCTGCACTTTTAGACATTTTCTAAAATATTTTATTGTAATGACTATAATTCATTAATTCATCACATTTGGGGTTTTGGGGTTTTGGGGTTTTGGGGTTTTGGGGTTTTGGGG